ATATGCTTAGCTAACAGCAAATAACTGATTGCTTGTGGGTACAATAACTGCATTCGTTTATCTCCTTCTTGTTGCTTGGCTTAGCGCAAAACGTCGGAACTGTACATAATAGGTGGTATGGGATCCTTGAATTTCATTATGTTCTGCGCTTCTTCCTTCCGCCATGTACTTGCATGTTTTCTGCCATCTACTAAATTGCTAGCGATTTTGTTACGCAATGCACCCTTTTAATGGCCTTTTTTAACATGGCGAACATCTGGGTTGTAATTCTTCAGCGTGCATTTGAAGAGAATATTTTAGTTAATTGCGGGTTTTTCTAGCAATCGTCCTTACAATGGCTTAAAGATGGGCGTAGCCCGTTAGCCTGTGGGCCGGGCCTGACTTGCGTTTGCTCACACACACACTTGTGTGGTGGTGGAGGTGGTTGTGTTATAGTAATCTTTACGGCGCAATTTTTTTATGTGTATTTTTTAGTATACTTATTTGTGTACATATTTATGGGCGTAGCCCGTTTCATATTCTTGTTATATACAAAAACTGTTCAGTATTTTTCCTATAAATAAGAGATTATAAATAAAGAGCAATTTGGAAGAAATTTCATGAATTATATCCAAAATATAAAAATATTTCAGAATTTTATAGAAGTGAAGAATACAAAACTTTATTGAACGAATATAAAGGTGATACAGAGACTGTACAAAAATTAAGAAAACAGCATCAAGAGAATATAGATGATATACCAAGTACATCAAATACAACAGAGCAACAACAACAACCACCTATTGAACCAGCCGATCCCGGACGACGATCCGACAACAGAGAATCCACAATTGAAAGTCCTCCTACACAGGGTGGAGAAGGTGATAGCACTTGGGACGAGTTCCTTGCTGATATTGATACTAGTCTTAATAGTGCTGATCTTGCCGATTTGCCACTTGAATCGAGTATGGATATATCACAATCTGGTAGTGGTAGGGGACCGAATACAGGATCTCGTGGCGAGAATTCGGGGACGACGATGGGAGCGTCATCAAATGGAAGAAGTGATACCACTCCATGGCTTTCCAGACCACTTCCACGACGTTCCTCTACGTTAGAGTTCACAAAATCTAGAATTTTATATAGTTATGGATATAGTAATGAAGGTTTAGAGGATGCTACCGATAAAACATATGAAGTTTTAACTACTCCTCTTTCATTGATTCCAGTAGATTTTTTACCATTTTATTTGTCTCCTGCAGAATATTCAAATTTACCTATAGCTTCCAAAGTGGAATCAGTTTGGTGTAAAATATACCCTTTAGGTACAAGAACTGCATTTGATACAGGTACTACATTATCAGGTACGGCGACTTCTGAATATATACCTATAGGAGTATGTGCAATCGGTTTAAATACTGACTTTCATGGTCAAAATATGATTACAACGGGAGAAAGTACTAATCCTATGGTTCCAACTGAAGTTATTCAACTAGTGCCCCAAAATATAGTAGATAAATATTATTTGGACAATACTTGTTGTGCTATGGGAGTACCTCGATCAATTTCTGAATATTTTAGTCTTTGTATAAATAAAAAAACTAATCCATTGGCAAGAGACAAAGCTAAAGATTATGATGTTAATGACAAGGGAATTTATAATTTAGATTATAAATTAAAAAAATTTTTAATTAATGGTTGCATCAATAAATGTATAGTTGATTATAAATATAATGTTAGAAATGGAGAAATAACTAATAATAAGTATCATACTATTCCGTATCCTAGGAGAAATCAATTAGCTTGTACTAATAAAACTAGAGGATCTAAGAATAAATTAGAATTTTTTCATACAGGAGTTGAGCCAAACATAAAACTTGCATCAGGTCAAGTAGGTTTTAAAAACACTCGAGGATCTTTAGCTATATTAAATAATCAAATAGAAAATGCATATAAGAGACAATTAGAAAATTATGGAGAATATAATATGCATAATGGATGTTCTTCATATGCTGCACAACCGCAAGTTCATGTTGGTATTATTGCTACACCGCAATTAAATCCGCAAGATGAAAAAAAAAATTTTTTAAATTCGTGTTGTTATTGGAAAATCGATTGTGGAGTAACAATTTCGACAAGTCCGCATTCGGCTATGACTGCAGGAGCTCTAGTAAGTTGGCCTAAAGAGGTAACATTTAAGGAAAATGCAAATATGAAATATACCGATGGAGTGACAATGTTTGGAAATGTTGTAAATGGAACTGGAATAATATCTTCCATGAAAGATATACTTACCGAATATGAAATTATTCATCCAAGAAAAAAATCAAAATAATGTATATTTATAAATATATTTTATATATTTTTATTTAAAATAAATTCTTGATATAAAAAATATATAGCTAAAGGGTATGGTTTTTTATTAAATTAAAATAATTAAATATGATGCAGGTTTCCAATTAAATTGAAACATTCTTGAACGGAATGCTTCATTTTTTGGGAATATATCATTATTAGACAAAATTATTACTGGTGTGCGCATAACAACAGCATCACCTTGATACTTTACTTTAGCATTGCAAGTATCTCCACCTAAAATACATTTTAGAGTTTCTGATGCTGATGGTTCCATTACTGGTTCGTTCCATAAAATTACTCGTCGATCTACACATTCCATTAAAGGAAATGTGCAATATCGATTAAAATTTCCCATTTGTCCAAAATTTATACAATAATGAACAACAGCGTCAAAAAAATAATTTTTACCTGAATTAGGTGGAGATAATATAAATATGGAATTTTTTTTTGGAACTTTCTTATCAAGAACATTAAATAAAATTTCATAAAATGTTTGAATATTTCTTGCATTATCATTAAATTGATATCTTATTAAGTTTTTTAAAATTTCAATTGATTTATCCAAAGGATAATAGTAATCGTTTATATTACAATGTGGTGCATTGAAAATTAAATGTTGTGGATCGATCGATGTAAAATGTGTATACAATTCTTCTATACTCAAATCATTATAGAAAGAACTATGAATTTTTATTATATTAATTAAAAGAGGACTGACACGATTGAAAAATTTCCATTTTGAGTTCATCCAAATGGATGTAGAAAATATCTGAGTTACAGGGCTCACTGGATATTTTTTGAGCCACTGTAGAAGTTTTTCTGCTTTTCCACTTTCTTTACATCGTTCAGCGATGTTATCTGTCGAGCTACATTTTTGAGAATTTTCTGCAACCCCACATAATTCGGATCTAACGGTGAGCTGGTTAAGAAGGTGGTTCGCACATCGGCTTCCTTCCACCAGTTTTTCTTTTCCAGTTTTGCAACTTTCCCGAAATTGTACACATCTATCTTCACTACATGGTATCCACGTTCGCCCGGCGATGTCCATTGAACATATGTATCTTGGGTCCCTCTCGCAATAGATTGCGAGATTGACCCAATGTTCGACTGTAAATTCGACACTGGGAGTAGTTCTTCTAGAAAATCTTCTTCCAACGTCTTTTCTACATTTCCACCTTTCCATGATGGAACATCGACAGGCATAGTTGTGGTACGTGCAGTCGTGGATGACATGGAAGTGTTCATCATGGCTGCAGACGAGGAACACGGCTCCTCTGTGTCTTTCTCGTAAGTCTGTATAATCAGATCCACTAAGTGGGTCGGTAAAGATCTTTTCATAGATGTCGTGAATAATGCGTCTTTTTGGACAACATTTACGAAACCCCTGAACGAACACTTTCTTAACTCTTTCGAATCGATCTTCAACGTTTTCAAT